ACTGGACACAGTAAACCAATTGGAATAAAAGAACATTAAAAGGCTTTAAAATATATATTCGGCACTTAGCTTTGATTTAACACAGAGGTTGGTTGCGGCGTTTTTTTTTTCTTAATCCTTTTTTTAAAGTTAAGTGTTAGTTTCATATCTAGGAGAAGCACTGAGTAAACAAATAAAAAATTCATTAGCGATCGGCAACTTGAGGAAGATGAAAGGTTTTACAATGTGAAAATCTGGTTTCCAGTGCCGCAAAAGCCAGTCGTGGCATCATTAACGCAGTGTGGAGCCCAGCAGACGTGAAAAGCATTATGGCGTGTAATCTGGGTGAAATTTACTAATATTTCAAGCGACGTTACAGGGTTTTTGAGTTTAACAGCTTCACGAAAAGGCTATTAAAACATTTCCAAAGTTAAATCCGAATTGCTGGGGGCCATTTCGGCAGCGTAAATATTCAAGACAATTGGCATCAGCGGCACTTTGGATGAGCCGTGAGTCGAGAAGTCCCCCAACAAGGCTTTTTTGTTTGTTTGTTTGTTTGTTTGGCGATCCACAAGGGAAGTGAGGATTTTCATGTTTGAATTTTGACCCACACGCCTTTAAAAAAAAAAAAAAAGCTGGAAAAGTCCCTGGTGGGGGAATCTCCACTCGCCAATTCTCGGCAGTAAAGCACCCTTGCGAAAGGGCTCCTATGTGGTGGAAGTTGTACATTCCCAAAACGTTTGTTGATCACTTGGTATTTTATTGGTATGATTGGGTTAAACAAAACACAGGTTTGTGTTCATTGGTTCCTTTTGAACTTTGATGACAGTTTGGGTGGGTTCCCAATAAGCAGAGGGTTAATACCCGCAGCTGCTGAATAGATGCAACTTTGACCAAACTTGTTGTTCGGGGTCTGGGGAGTAAATATCTTCCTCCTCACTAACATACCCCTGTTGACTAGGACATATTCTTGCAATATAGTCTTGATTTAAATTGATCAGCCAGTTAGGCAGTGGCTGTAAATTCAGAGGTAAACAACTGCTACATTTGCCTTCCTTTAAACCCAGCAGTTCTAATTTACAGTCAGCTTCATATTTCCTGACCTCTAAATAATTTATTGTGCTATGCAAACTTTGCCACCATGCTGTTTCACCTGACCTGGATCCTGTAATTGCCAGGTTTTCAGAGGTGCGTTTGATAAGAGGAGTTCTGACTCCTCTCAGTATCCTTTCAAAATTCTTTGAACACTCAAAAGGCATGAAGAAAGAGAGGAGCCTTTCCCCCCCCCTTTTAAAATTTATTTATTTTATTAAATATAAAAAAACCAGTTAAAAATAAGAAAGCAAATTCTGGTGTTTATGCAGGGCAAACAGGGAGGTGTCAATTTTATGTGCTGCTGATGCTTCTAAGAGGGGCATCCATTTTTCTTGAAGATTGTCAGGAACGGGTTTATTTTCAGATCGAAGGATACCAGTGGAAACTTTGTCCTGTAAAAAGAAGTCCCACAATTTCAGATACCAGTCGCTCAATAGCAGCGTCTTCTTAGATTTCCCTTTAACTTGCACTCAGCACTCTTTGTTAATCTGAGGACTCAGAATTCATTGCCCAGTATTTAGGCAGTGGTTATATAAATCAGGTGATAAATAAGAGTTCCAGACTGTATTCCACAGTCCGTGTAAATTGCATCTATTGTTGAATGATTCGTCCCTTGGAAAAAAAGTGAGAAAAATCTGAAACTGACTGCAAAGTGCTTTTTATTAAACCCAATGACCTGGGGATCTCCCAGAATTATAGCTCCAGATGGCAAAGATCAGTTCCCCTGATAGTTTGGAAGGTGGACTCTATGGCATTGGACCCCACTGTGGTCCCTGTCATTCCCAGGTTCCATCCCCAAATCTCGAGGAATTTCCCAACCTGGATCTGGCAACCTAGTTCTAAACACCAAAAACAACAGGTGTGAAACAAACAAAACTATTGTCTAACATCCCATAGAATACGTAAATGTGGATTTTGGGGGGGAAAGAGTTAAGGGAGATAAAGATTGAGGATCAGAAAGATACTCAGGCATTCTGATGGAGCTGGTGTGGTTGGTACACCTGTAGGAAGTCCCAATGGAGATGAGGGCCGGCAGGTGCAGACCTCTCTTCTCCCTTTGTTCGTTGTTAATATCGTGCCATCTGAACAGGGCTAGAAAGCTATGTAAAGGTGTGGGTGCAACAAATATCTTCGCTGAATGGATATGATCATAATATGCAGTCTGCAGAGCTAAAGTGGCTCTCCACTTGTCAAGGGTAGGAAAGCACATGGTGGTGGGCTCTCTTGTGCCTGCATAGCAGCTTAGCAAATGAGCCTCAAATCCTCTGGGGAAGTCCTTGTTCTAGCCTCGGGCTTCCTGGTCCCCTTGTCACCCAACAAGACCCTCCCTCCCACCCCAAGGCTTAAACAGGCTGAAAGGAAAGCTGCTTCACCTGCTCTGGAAGCAGCACCTGGAACTCAACTGGTCAAGGCTCAGCTGGGATCAGGATCCTGCAGAGGGATGACGTCACTGGACCCCAAGGTCTGCCCTAAGAGAGGGAGAAGGGGCTCCAGGCTTGGCACTGCAGCTCTGCCGGGTTATCTTGGCACCAGTCTGCTGTCTTCGCTGCCCCAGAACCTGGAGTGACAGATGGAGGTTCTGGTGGAGGAACTCAAAATGCAAGCTTCTCGGGCAGCCTCTGGAGCAGATGGGGCAGCATCATCTAGGGTCGCCATTCCCCAGTTGGGGGTGGGAGATTCTCCAGTTTCGTGGGCTCCTGCCTGCTGCCGGCCGGCTGACTGGTAGGACGAATTCTGCCCCCCCCCCACAAAAAAACCCAGCGACGGAAATAAACACAACATACCCACATCACCCGGAAGTGATGTAGGCACATCAGTGATGTCGGGGGGGGGGGGGGGCAATGCTCTGGTTTCTGGGCACAATTCTATGGTTTGAGGCTGTTTTTACCACAGAGTTTAGAGTGCCCCCCCCTTTTTTGTGCCTACGTCACTTCTGGGTGATGTAGGGACGTCCCGCAACATCACTTCCAGAGATGTAGGCAATTACCATGACAACACTTGTGGCTCTCAAAATGCCCCCCGTCCCCCTGGTGGCTTTTCTGATGGACCTGGCAGCGCTCACATCATCTCCCATCATCTCAGGGTCTCCCTGAGCTCCTTGCCCTGTTTCTGGGTCCCCAGGGGGTCTTCCTTGGAGGCTTCCCCAGAGCCCGCTCAGTGGGGTTCTTCACTGTACCTGTAGCTTCTTCCCTGGAAGGTCGCTTGCTCCATCTTCATTCGTCACCTGGCTCCCTGGGGGGAGAAAACTCATAGAGCTACATGCACATTCCTGTATCTGCCCCAGCCAGCCGTGTTTCGGGTTGGCCATTGAGTTGTGCCTATGATTTTACAGGTGACCTCAGGCCTGCTGTTTTAATATTACTTACGCATCCATTAATGGAAAACTGATGTACAGCTTGTTAATCATATTTTCATCTTTTTCTCAGTTTCCTCTATTCCCCCTCTGAGGTGGAGGCCATCTTGTGGGTGATTCCCAACCATCTCTTAGGGAGGCAGGAACTTCAAACTGTTTCCTGTTTCCTGTGTTGGGAGTTGCCCTCAACTCAGTTTTCTTCCTGCCTCAGTAGGGAGAACAGTGAAAATTTGGCTTTGCCTTTACTTCACTATTCTACACTACTTATCTCTTATCTTCTTTCCTGTTGTACCTTCATAATTCTCTACAACCTACTTTCTTTCACTATCTGTATCTCAACTAGGGATGTGCATTTCGGGATCCCGAGCCGAAAAAAAGCCGAAAATAACGTTTTCCGGCTTTTTTCGGCTTTCGAGATCCCGAAATAGCCTTCTACGAGCTTCCTGAAAGGCGAAAAAAATCCCGAAAAAATTCGGGTTTTTTCGGCAATGCCGAAAAATGCCGAAAAACGGCCGCTTTGCCCTGCTTTGCCCTTTAAACATTAAAGGGCAGCCGGGAAACCCCGTTTTCCCGCCGTTTCCGCCTCTTTGGCGTCATTTTCTCCTGTTTCCCGCCTCTACCTCCTGTTTTCAGGAGGGAGGGGGGAAGAGGGGACCCAGACCAGCCAATCACTGCAATGCATTGGTGGGTGGGGTGGGCTTCTTGTTGTGGTGTTGTGGGTCTTTCACACAGGTTGACAGAGAAGTCTAGGCACACAGTCAAGCTGACAGGAGAAGAGACAGGATGCCTCCTGAGACATGCGACAGAGAGGCTGTCTCCTTTGACAGATACCTGAAGCGCCCTGACTTGCCTATATACTGTCAAGCGCCTCCTGCATCTGCCTAGGTGGGCCGCGTCACTCCAGGCCACGGTTTCTCTCGGTGGATGATGGCTTTTAGAATGTTTTGGTGTTTTCTGGACGTTAACTTAACTGACAGGAGGAGGAGGAAGAGTCAGAGAGGCCGCACCGCTGGCCGTCTGTGGGATCACGTCTTTCTTTGCCAGGTAGCCGTGACACCTCAGGCGCCTGACGAAGTGGCCTGCATTCAACTTCACACCAAGGCATGGTTTGGGGGGGGCAACATTTGGCTGACACTTATCTGGATGCCTGCAGGCTGACATCCTGTGCTACTGCTGTGATCTCATCCTTCAGACTTCCAGATACGGTGGCCGGCATCACATCGTGATGGGTTTGGGGCATATTATTGTTTAGAGTGGGGGTGGGGGTGGTCCCAAGTCTCCCTCGGCTTGTAGGCTGCTGCTGCTGCAGTATGCAGAGAATCCCTGGTTTGAGCCAAGTTCTGGTTTTTGGCAGTGGCACTGACTGGCTACTTGGCAAAGGTTTTTCGGGGGGGGGCGTTGGTCTGGTTCTGCTGCAGTGCTGGCTGTGCAACCCAAATAACGGAGCACAGAACTGTCCAAGGTTTAGAAAGGGTAGGAATTAAAAGGTGTGGAAACAGAAGATTCTTAAAATCAAGGAGACAGGTCTAAAACTAACCCAACACAAATAAACGAGGAAGGGAATGAAAAATATTGTGGTCGGCAGGATTCGAACCAGCGCGGGGAGGAGACCCCATGGACTTCTAGTCCAACGCCTTGACCACTCGGCCACGACCACTTGGTTAAAGAGCTTGTTGAAAAATGAAAGAAAGAAAGAAAGACAGAAAGAAGCTGAGCCAGAGCAATCTGTCCCCTCAAAAACCTGGCTCACACTAACTCAGCTTAGAGGTAACATTGGTTTACCTTGGGCATGGGCAGGGCTTCTTGTTGTGTTGGTCTTTTTCACACAGGTTGACAAAGAAGCCCCACTCTCCAGGCACAGCAGAGATGGACAGGCAAGCTGACAGAAGAAGACAGGCTGCTTCCTTGGCATGAGACAGATGGGCTGCCTCCCTTGACAGAAGCCTGAAGTGCCCAGCCTTGCCTATATTGCTGTCATGCACTTCCAGGCATCTGACAAGGTGGGATCCATCACAACAACAAGCCACGGTTTATCTCGGTAGATAATGGCTTTTTGAATTTTTTGGAATTTTGTGGACGTCACGTCACGTGAACTGACAGGAGGAGGAGGAGAGGAGGCCGCACTTCGCTTGGTCGGTTGTGGACTCTTGCCTTTATTTGCTAAGTAGACAAGAGCCCAATCGGCCAACGAAGTGGCCAGCATTCACACCACGGCATGTTTTTTTGACTAATGAAAACATAGCAGGATGCTAGAAGACTGACGTCCTGTGTTTTCAACTTCCATCCAGCATCTCGATGCCTTGAGCGGTGACCATGGAGGAGAGCCCTCTGGGGTTGCAAGGGAGACGTCCCTGTGTGAAATCTCCGAGTCCTGACCTGCACTGCTGGAACGGGGCGGGGGTTCCCACAGGCCAGCCGCTGGATGTTTTTGCCTGCCTGCCCGCCCCTGCCTGGTGGGGCTGTGGCTGTCTTACTTCCGTAGTGCCACCTTCCTAGAGGTATCAAACGTGGGATGGGACCCCCCCTGGATGATTCCCCAACCCGGGAATCATCATATCTCAATCTTTGGGCACCCCCTGGAGAGTTGGGAGCCACTCTAATTTGGGGGCATCTGGGTTCTTCTGACCTCCCTTTGCCTCGAGAGAGGCAAAGGGAATGAATGGCATGCTTTGCACCTTGGCACAGTTTGTGGGGGGGGGTTTTCTTGTTGTGGAGTTGTTGTTGTTGTTGGTCTCTCACACAGGTTGACAAAGAACTCTAGGCACACAGTCAAGCTGACAGAAGAAGACAGAGGCTGCCTCCTTGGCCAGGGACCATGAGGGCACACCTTCTGCTGTGCTAGGAGTGTCATCCTGGTACCTGTGCTAAGTGGGCAGCCAGCAATCTCACCTGGTGTTTACAGTTGTCAAGGCTCAACAAAGAGGTCTTGGCTGGCAGACAGTGAGACATGATGAGACAGAGAGGCTGCCTCCCCTTGACAGTGGTCTAAAGTGCGCTGACTATATTGCAACCGTCTGGCAGCAGTTCAGGCATCTAAGGTGGGCCGCGCGGCGTCACGCCAGGCCATGGTTATCGGTGGAAGATGTATGTTATACTGTTTTGCTGTTTTCTGGATGTGAACTGCCAGGAGGAGGAGGAGGAGGAGGAGACAAGGGCGCACTTCGCTGTATCGCATGTTGGACCCTGTCTGTCTTTGCTAAGTAGACATGACTCTTCATGCGTGTGACGAAGTGGCCTGCGATCATCACACCAAGGCATGGTTTTTGGCCTAAACAAATCATAGCCCCTGCCTGGTGGGGGGGTGGGGCTATCTTCCTTCCTTAGTCGCCGCCACCCACTCACTGGATTCACAATCACAACGCCTTCCTACAGGTATCATATGGTGGGACCCCTATGGATGATTCCCCAACCTGGGAATCATCATATCTCAATCTTTGGGCACCCCCTGGAGAGTTGGCGGCCACTCTGATTTGGAGTAATTTGGGTTCCTCTGGCCTACCTTTGCCTCTCGCTAAGTGGGGATTCGCACACCCACAGTGATTGCTCATGTCACTTCAACTTGCACAGGCCCTGCCTGCCCCCCTCCAGTTATGCTGCAGAAATCCTCAGATTTGGACTGAGTCCAGTTGGGTGACTGGCACAGGGGGGTTGTTGAGGGGGGGTTGATTGCTCTGGTTCTGCAGCTGGGCATGGCTGACATGCTCCCCTATGTAGGCTGCTGCCTGCCACCGCAGAGGGAGATTGTCTGGTTTGCTTTTGGGGGTTTTCGGGCACTGCCTGGCACATTGGCAGGCACACTTGTGGTGTACTGGTTCTGCTGCTGGGCCTTCCTGGCTGGCTGGCATTGGCATTGGCAGTGCACATAATAGCTCCCTCAGCCTGTGTGCTGCCGCTCCAGTCCAGTGCAGTCTGGAGAGATTCTCTGGTTTGACCTAGGTTGAACTCTAATGGTTTGGGGGCACTGACTGGCATAGTGGCATGGCAACCTGGCTGGCACAGGTGTCAGATTGCTCTGGCTCTTCTGTTGCCCAGCCTGGGGCCTGGCTGGCATGCACTTGCTCCCTCAGTCTGTAGGCTGGAGGCCGCTGCCGCTGCCTGCAGAAATTATCTGGTTTGCACCAAGTTGGTTCTGGGCACTGATTGGTTGCACCTTGGCAGGGGACAGATTGCTCTGTTCCTGCTGCTGGGACTGTCTGGCATTGGCATGGCAATGCACAGACATGCTACCTTACCTCAGTGCTGCTGCTGTAGAGAGATTCTTTGGTTTGAGCAAAGTTGTGTTGGTTTGGGGGTTTGGGCACCCAGTTTGGCGGCACAGGTTGTGGGGGGGGCACTTGTATGGTGCAGTGCTGGGGCTGGCTGGTCTGCCTATGCAAAGTTTGCAAACATGCTCCCCCAAACAGGTTGCCCCCATCCCTTCATTGTTCTCTATAGTGGGAAAAAAAGTTATTTTTTCCCACCATAGAGAACAATGGGATGGGGGCAACCTGTTTGGGGGCCCATAGAATTGGACCCCCAGGTCCAATCTTCATGAAACTTGGAGGGTATGTTGGGGAGAGGGTCTAGTAACCACCCTCCAAGTTTGGAGCCTCCAACTCCAAAGGCCATAGGATACAATGTTGCCGAATTGCCGCCAAATTTCGGCGGCAAACCGGGAATAAACTGCAGGAAGCTGATCTGGGGGCAACCTGTTTGGGGGCCCATAAAATTGCCTTGAAACCTGGTGGGTATGTTGGGAAGAGGTTCCAGTAAGCACCCTCCAAGTTTGGAGCCTCTACCCCAAACCCCCTCCCCCCCAGCCCCCCACAAAATTTCAAGAGGATTTTTGCCATTGACCTCAATGGCCCCATTGGTTACAATGGACCCGAATTTTTCGAGTTTCCCGAAAAATTTTGGATATCTTTGCTTTACCAGTATAGATATTCGGGTTT